AAAAAAAAAAAAAAAAAGAAAGAAAGTATATTGGGTGACCTGATGGTTTGGTCTTCAGTGTCTAGGCACCAGGGCCACTGTTGACTCAGTGTTTTGAGCAGATGGGGATCTCAGCACGCCACAGTCCTGAGAGGAGGTAGAGGGCTACCTTTGTCCTTCAAGAGTTGACTGATTGTTTTTCCAGGACATTGTCCAGATCTTTCATGATGTAAACATTTTGCTTATAGGCAATGAAATCTCCAGAGCTAAAAGACCGGCTGGAAGAATCTGAGAAGCTAATCCAGGAAATGACTGTGACCTGGGAGGAAAAATTAAGAAAAACGGAAGAGATTGCCCAGGTGTGTTTTCTGAGTGGTCCAGAGGTGGTGTCCCTCTGATTCCTTTTTGATTTATAGATTTGCTGATGACAAATCTCACACCGTGCATAGGAAACCAGATCCAAGAGAATGTGTGTGTTATAAAAATAATTTGAAGGGTAAAGAACGCATAATTGTAATAGTTTGTTATGTAAGAAATAATCAGTGTTTAAATATCAGTTAATACTTTTTAAAAAATGAAATAGCTATTTACACCTTCCTGGTTCTGAATACTTCATTTTTTTTAAAGTGCCTTGTAGACCTAAAAAGAACTTACTAAAATTACAGAATTAATAGTAGTAGATAGTTGGTTATGAACTTTTTCCCTTCATGGCACCTTAAGGGAAAATGAAATACCTAAATCTGGTGGTGACTCATTATTGAAAACCCTGAAACAGAAGGTTGTGAGCTCTTCCGGTGGGAACATTAGCATTAGTTTAAGAACACCAAGTCAAGTTTAGCATAGAGGAAAGGTGTCAAAAAGTCTTTCTTCTTAGAAAAAGACTCTGGTTTCCCTTCTTTGGGGTCCTGTACCCTCTGGTTTAGAAATATGTATGGAGATGCGGAGCTCAGGACCCTGGCTAGCACTCTGTCACGACTGGACAGCTCTTCAGTAGCTGTTTAATTGAAATTTTTTGTTCTTCTGGTTTCTACTCCTCTGCCCTCCTTTGTTGTTCTATAGCTAAGACAGTAAGTGTCCCACCTGTCTGCAGTGACTCATGACAGGAAAGTCAGCACTTGTTGGACAAGCTTCCGTTTGGGGCACTTTGCTAATAAGCACTTATCACTGAAGTATTTTATGGAATCCTCTCTGTAGCCCCACGAGATAGGGACTGTTATTATCCAGTTCAGTTGTTTAGCTATTTATTTATAGCCACCTCTCTGCCTCTTGCCTTTTTCTGAGTTAAAAATCCATGTTTTAGCTGGTCCTCTGACTAGAGAATTCATAGAACTCACAACATCTTTCATTATCCAGTGCATTTCTTCTTTAAATGTGCTGTCCAGAATCATTTTACCTTTCACATGTTGGTACTACTCTTACTTAGTATAAAGTGAATGTCACTTTAGTGTGAACTAGGATTTAATTTGATTTCAAAAGCATTTTCAGTTAGGGATGAACATAATAAATGCACTGGTGCCCAGCACCTGGTTTCATTACAGATCAGCATGTGGCCAGCCTCATTCCATCTGTGTCCCTGCCTCAGGGTCTCTCTTAGTGCCTCGGCCCCAGATTACAGAAGAAAACATGCCTGTGTATAAATCCTTTCTCATTACATATCTTCCTTTATGTTTTTCATGAATTAAAAGTCATTCTAACAGTTCTACGGTCTGGAGCTGAACTGTGCACCCTAAGAGTGAAACACTAACTTCAAAGTGTCACTGTGAAAATGGACACGAGGCAGTCTGATCTAAGTGAGATTACAGTATCGGGGGCTTATCCTGGGCACCTTTTCCTCTTCTGCCCACAGGTCCCAGCTTGGAGGGCTCTGCTGTTTGTTGTTGTTGTTGTTGTTGTTGTTTTGAGAGAAGGTCTTTGCTGTGAAGCTCAGGCTGGCCTTGAACTCACTATATAGTACAGGCTGGCCTTGAACTCAAAGTGATCCTCCTGCCTCAGTCTCCCAAGTGCTGGGAGCTGCAAAGGCTGTGCTGATTTTATCCAACACCTCCTTCAGCACCTCAGCTTCTGAGCCCCTAGGCCTTGGTGCTGTTGAGCTTTTCCTTTCTCTCATTGATATAACTTAGAGGCCAGGGATTTGGCTCATTGGCTTTGCTGCCTGCCTCACTGATGAGACCTGGTCTGTTAAAAAAAATGTATCTTGGGAGTATAGCCACAAAACAGTAAATCTCTGCTGGGCGTGGTGGCGCACGCCTGTAATCCCAGCACGCAGGAGGCTGAGGCAGTAGGATCGCTGTGAGTTTGAGACCAGTCTGGGTTACATAGTGAGTTCCAGGTCAGTCTCAACTACATAGTGAGACCCTGTCTCAAAAAACCAAAAAAAAAAGAATGAAAAATGAGAACTCACTAGTTTACTTGGTTACTATTTGTAATGGGCTTTACTTGTTAAATAAATTTTAATTAGCAAAATAAAACTAGCTAGTTTGGAAAGAACAAAATGCAGTAACTGTAATGCTATATTGAAGATGCTTTATTTGAATAAATAATCTTTCTTTTTTGGTGGTGCTGGGACAGAACCCTGGGCCTCTCTCTTGCAGGGCAAGCATTCTCCCATTGAGCCACCCCCCAACTTCCTGTCCTGAGTAATTATTGGGATCTTTGGGATCTTGCTGCCTCTGAAGCTCAGGAATTAACACTTCTCCACTCTGTTTGCAGGAGCGACAGAAACAGCTGGAGAGCCTTGGGATCTCGCTTCAGTCCTCAGGAATCAAGGTTGGGGATGACAAGTGCTTCCTGGTTAACCTGAATGCCGACCCTGCTCTGAATGAGCTTCTGGTGTACTACTTAAAGGTGAGGCAATGCGCCTGCACAGAACAGTCACTCTCCTTGGGACTTTAAACTCAGGGCACCACGCTCATGCAGAGAACACTTAACACACGGTTTTCATTTGAAGAAGCTGGAGTGTAGAACAGTCTTGGGTTTCTGGGATCAGTTTCCCTTTTTAGTCTTTGGGTGATGACATTCAACCTAGTCATATAAAAATATATTTTGATATGATTTTCTTTTTTTTTTGGTACCAGGGATCGAACTCGGGTCGCCGAGCTTACAAAGCAGGGACCGGAACCACTGAGCTAAACCCCAGCCCCCAGTATTATTTTCAACAACTTCAATAACTTAATGTTGTAGTCAGGGTTTTGCAAGGGAATAAATTTAATACAGGACACATAATTTATAGGCTTATTTCGTAGTGGTTACCCAAAAAGTCAAATACAGAGTATCTAGCCACACTCTAGAGACCCAAAGCATCCATTTAAGGGTCTGGATCCATAGCAGTGTCCTGCACGAGTCCAGCTAAAGCCTTGAGTCCAAGGTACAGTCTTCTATGAGTCCAGCCAGAGGCCTAGGGCTCACAGCAATAACTCCTGCTTGTCCGTATTGAGGGTCTGCCCCAGAAAGACCCAAAGGCCAATGGCAGAAGTCAAAAAACCTGTGCTGGTGGGGTGAAGGGTCTGTGCCACCAGGCTGAGGGCTCCATGCTGGAGCCAGGAAGTGATACTCACGGTGAAGACCAGAGCTCCTCTGACGAGAACAGCAGCCATTCCCAGAGACAGTGAGGCCCCGAGCTCCTCCCGCAAAGCAAACAGCCGAGTTCGTATCAGGAAAACCATCCGCAGCAAGCTTCTCCTAGAACATCAACAGCCCCCATCTTCCCCTTCACTTCTCTTTGTGTGCTGTTGGCAACAATCCTCAGGTGGGTCCTCCGTGCCCAGACCACACTGATTCTGTTCAGCTGGGCATTTCAAGTTGACCATTAGTTAATTCACCACACTTACCTAACATTATCAGTAACTTACACAAGGGAATAATTTTAAAGCTTAAAAGATGACTTTTAAGACCAAATGATTCATTTAGTCATTGGATGAAAATGACTGATTTATATGAAGCTTTTTGTGAGCATTTTTGTTAGCCCATGAGAGAAAGTATTTAAAGATGGTAAAATTCTTAGGAGTACTTACTAGGAAATTTTTGTTTCTGATAACTAAGAAAAAAAAATTGATTTGTTTTCTGTGGGTACTGGAATTCAAACTGAGGACCTTGCACTTGCAAGGCAGGTGCAGTGCCATTGAGCTAAATCCCTGGCCAGGAAAAAAAAGTTTGAATTATTATCTGTAAGAAAAGGAAGAGTAGGTCACTTAAAAACTTGAGAGGGTCAGAATATGGAACAGAAAAGAAAAGATAAATATTGATGTGTTAGCTTTTCATTGTTGTGACAAAATACCGACAAAAGAAAGTTAAAGGAAGAAAGGGTTTTTGGCTCATGGCTTCAGGGATTTGAGTCCATGGTTTAGTTCTCTTGCTTCTAGGTTGGTGGTGAGGCAGAACATTAGGGCAGACAGCACAGAAAAGGTGCAGTTTCATAACCCTTCAGAGGTGCCCCGTGACCTGCTACCTCCAATCGCAGTCCCCTCCTCAAGATTCCACCAAGTGCCCCGGATTTAGCTCAGTGGTTCCAGCATCTACCTTGCGAGTGCAAGGACCTGAGCTTGATCCCCAGTACCACCCCCCAAAAAGACTCCACCACCTGCTGGGGACCAAGTGTTCACTATGTAGACACTTAGGGTGACCTTTCAGATCCATCCCATAACATTGGTATACACGGAAATTTGTAAATCATGGGACATATTAGGAAGACAAGAGAGGACTTTAGAAAGAGCATGAATTCTGAGACACCACATAAATTATGAGTGCTCCAAATTGCCTTTGAAAAATCCAGAGGATAAATTAGTTTTGTCACAGACTTGTATTAGTTTCTTTCCTTCTCATGTAGATGGGATTGACTAATGTAACTAGGAAGATAAAAAGTTGAGCTGATTAAGTTGGAAACAGTTTTAAAAGTAGAGAAGTGTGTGATTTCATTTATAAAAGGCTCATATTGGTTGTTTTCCAACTTTTTATTCGAAGATATCCTTGAATAGTTCCTGTGTCATTTTTGATGATCTCCTACTGTTTTTGTTTTGTTTTAAAAGTTGTTTTGTTTTTGTTTTTTCTCAGTACGAGGTATCAAACTCAGGACCTTGCACTTGCCATGCAGGCACGGCGCCACTGAGCTACCCCCCTGCCTGATAATCGGCCATTGTTAATGAGTATCTTACACCATGCGTGGTTATGTAGTGAGCTAAGTTGTGTCTCTGGCACATGTGTGGTGTGCACATCTCTGGTGCTGCGGTACTGGGGAGGAGGACTGTGTGGTGAGTTCATGGTCAGGGCCTTTGCCCCTTCTCCTCTCTGTCTATAGGTTCTTCCTTTGCAGACACAGGGAAGTTGCTCTGGCTACTGTGCTGGGTTAATGTGAGGATTAGATATGTAAGTCACTATAAAAAAACACTATACTCATATTGATTTTCCACATTCCACTTTTGTTTGATGCTTTGTGGTCCTTTATACAAGTAGTAACTTTGTGTATTAAAAATGATGTATTATTTTGCATCTGAGCAGTCACTGGCAGCTTTTTGAGCTAGCACATAGGGATGGCACCTGACTATGCTGCCCTTTTTGTTTCCCAGAGCTAGAAGTTCTTTTTTTTTTTTTCTTGTATGATGTACTTCAGGTTGGAACACACAGACACATACTCAAGAAAAAACCCTGACTCACAACTATTCCTTAAAAACTTGAACAAAGAAACCATCCAGAGATTTTTGGAGAAGTCAGAACACTTCTGGTCATTTGTGTGGAGGTGTCTGGTTCCATTCCAGACTGTCGTCAGCCCTGTGTGGCCAGTGTCAAAGGCAGTGTCAGTGTCTTGACTGCCCAAGCTAACCCCACGACAAGGCCGAAGTCATGACCACGCACATTCAAACGGGTGATCTCAGTCCAAGAACAGTTCTCACTCCAGTAAAGTGACACCGTGATGTGGGATGGTGGAATTTGGAGACTGCACTGTTTTCTTTCTTTGCTTTGCGCTTCTTGAACCAGTTGAAATGTTGGACAAGTAACTCCAGTGTGATAACCTCACTCCTCCAGACAACTGTAGCCACCCGTTCTGTAAGGGAGTCAGATTAAAACAACCATAGAGTTTCTTCTAATTCCAAGTTGCGTGGTCTCTCTCTCGCTCTTTCAGAACAGAACCTTGACTGTGTGTCTTCAGGAACAACTCCTGCTAACACACCTTAGGGTCCTCATACCCACTTTTACACAGAGATTGAGATCTGTGCCATCCCCGATCAACTTCTCATTTTGCTTACCTTGTACCTTCCCAGCATTAGCTATTCACTGGATCATCTCCTATGAGAAATTTTGTCTTTTCCTCATCAGTATTTGAATTGTGTTACTTAGAGTATAAGACAAAGCTTACTGACTTGAAAAGAGAAACAAGGAGGCCTAGCACACTCCCTAGGTCCTGTCGATATTTCATCATGCACAGGTAAGTTAGAGGTGGCGGTGCATATGGGGAGCCCAGTTCTGACCATGCGGTTTTCTCCATCAAGGATAGCTGAGTTACCTGCCAAAACTGGGCCTAGACGTGAGCAGTTTGAGGTCATAAGAACTTAATCTATAATATGTGTTCTGTGAGGTTAGGGGATGCGAAGAGATTCATAAAATAACCTAAGTTTTTTCAAACCCTTATATGTCAGTAGCTTTTGTCTTGTAGTTGACTCATTTTGATTGAGGTAAGTGATGTCCAACTGAAGAAACCGCGATTTCCAAACCATAGTTTTGGTACATTATCAACACAGGGCTCATTCTCTGAGAGCAGTATGAAACATTTGGAATCAAGATTGTAATAATAGAAAGTATGGATTATGTTATAGACGGGAATATAAAATAGTTTAAAAAGGTATAACAACTGTGTGTTATTTTTTATAAGGAAATGTAACTTATAGACTGAATTTCAAAGTTATTACTCCATTTGCCTTAAATGTCATTCATCTAAGTTAATAGGTTAATGTAAGAGGGTTCAGTGCAGGTGATTTTAGTTTGTGTGTTGTAGAAGGAACTGGTAAATGACAGAGAGATGCAGAGGTGGGTAAAATAAAAAAACGTGTGCTTTGCTAGCAAAGGGTTGTCCTGTATCAAAGGCTGTGGCAAATGACCAACCCTGGGCTGGGTGACAGTCTGTCTTTTTTAGGAGTCTTATAGGCATGACCTCATTTTAGGTGATAAGGCATTCTAGTTCCCACGGTTCTCATCACAAATCATGGTCACAAGTGTTAACCCAAACGTAGCATTCTCTTTCAGGATGTTTATCTTTAGCTATTCCAGCCCACAACACTGGGGGTCAGAGTTAGGAAAGCAGGACTGACGACATTTTTTTCATTTTAAGTTTTTTATTTCAGACTACTTACAGAAGATCTCTCTATCATGGGCACATGTAAATATACAATATCATGAGCAAATCTGATTCTCTCTTAGGAACATACATTGATAGGATCAGCAAATTCCCAGGACATCCAGCTGTGTGGAATGGGAATTCTTCCTGAGCACTGCATTATAGACATCACCTCGGAAGGCCAGGTTATACTGACGCCTCAAAAGGACACCAGGTAATGTACTGGAATTTGTCTGAAGGTCTCAGTAATTTTTAAGAGGGAGAAAATACCCTAGCGGTAGTTGGTGTCACGTAGGACATCCAGCCCGATGCCAAGCCCTTTCTCTTTAACTGTAGAAACTCCTTTCTGCGTTCTCACTCCCATGGCCTCATTTAGGCCTCACCAGATCTTGGTCAGAGCCCCTGGCAACACCCTGTGCTGCTGCGTGGTTCACTCAACACAGCTTGTGGGACTCCTTCATCTTTGGCAGAGTCTCTCACACCCTGCCTGACAGCTCCTGCTCCTGGGCACCCGCCCGCCCTTTGGCCTTCCCACTCTGTTTGCCCTTCAGGCTTCCTGGGTGTCATTGATGTCCTTTGGGAGTTCCCTGTTCACCGACCCTTTCTGATGGCATCCAGGGTCATCTCGCTGAAACTCAGTCTCACAATAGGTCCCTTCCTCACAGCATCTCACCAGGACACCTGACTTTCCTATGTCACTCCTCATTGCTAGTAGTAAACCCAGCCTGTTCGCCATGCTAAGTTCTTGGTAGTCTTTGGTTGGAGGACATGGACAAGAGGTTTTCAAAATTTTAAATTTTTATTTGAAAGGTTGAGTGTTATCTTTGGCAAAAAATGCTGCTGGTTGTTTTCTTCAAAGTGACAGGCGCACTGTCACCTCTTATACTTAGTACTGTAAACATTTTAGGGAAGTCAATGAAGAAGTAAATATTATGAATATTAAAATTCACTGAGGGCACATTTATTTTGAGGACTTATAATCATTTTGTTTCCGCTTATAACTAGACTGTTGTAGTACTGGAAAATTAAAGCAGAGGACAGGGTAATCGTCATTCATGGCTTTCCTCTTCTCTCCATAGAACATTTGTAAATGGGTCTTCTGTCTCCAGTCCAGTACAGCTGTACCACGGGGACAGGATCTTATGGGGAAATAACCATTTCTTCAGGTATGACACTTGTAGCCCTCAGAGGGGAAATGTTTTTGATGGTTATGCTCTGAAATAGGATACATTTTTAAAGTAAATCATAAAAATTATGCATTATTTTGTGTATGTGTGGGAGTAGATGTATGTGTTTGCTATATGCATGTTTTTATATGTTTGTTCACTACATCAGTGTCTGAACTCTAGGAACATAGGGTCAGTATACTCAGGAAAAAATCTTAGTTTAGGTGCATATTTTCTCCTTTTTCCCCCTGGAAGATGAGTATTTAATTTTTTCAACATGCTTAGTATTTATTTGTGTGTATATATACCTGTTTATAGATATACACACATGTATTTTTGCTTAAAAATAATGGTGGTCATCATTTCCTTAGGCATGAAATCAAGTTTGTCTTTCCTTTAGGAATGTTTTCGGCTGCAAGTAACAGCACCCTTGACGGTGATGGCATAAACAAACCAGTGCTTTCTTGGACAGAACAAAGCATCTGAGATAGTTGTTAGTGTTGACTGACCTCTCAGAAGTGTCCTGGCTGTCACCTGCCGGGTCTCACAGTGGCTATGCCCTTCCTGCTGTGTACGTAGCATTCAACTCAAGGGAGAAAGAGAAGTGAAGGGGCAGCACAGCATGGCCGTCCTTTAGCCAGAACCCAGCAATCTTCACTCATATCTGCTTGGCTCGAATTTGTCTCCTAGCTGCCAGGGAGACTGGGAGGGGCACATTTCTACCCGGGGCTACACAGGAACTGTTCTCCAGACAGACTGCTGTCATTGTTGGGAGGGATAGTTAGGTGGGAGACTGTGCAGCGTTAACATCCCGGCATCCTCTTCCAGTCCCTGGCCATTGTACCTCAGCTGTCACACTGACTTCTTGTCACTAATAGAGACCCTTGCTTGTGGGCCAGCCGGTACTGTATTTTGCTTCCAAGGAAAGGGTAAGATGGGTACAAAGTTTGTGGATTGTTTTTCTCCTTTCCAAAATAAATCAAGTATAAATTGCTTGGCTTAGTCTTCAAAACCTTCATGGTTTGGGTTAAGATTTCCAGCTCTGCCACTGAACTTGTGCAGTGCAGAGTCATGTATTATGCTGTTTTACTCCTGAGTGCCCCAGAGACTAGGGGAGTTTCTGTCCCATGTCTCCCGCACTGCTCCCTTTGCCCAGCCCTCTGTGTATTCTGTAAGGCTTAGTGTGGGTGGTTTCTTACTCTGCCCTTCTTTCACCTGAAGGGGCCTCAGCTTTTCTTCCCACCCAGATCTTAACAGTCAGGTGGCCAGTGTCACATTTTCTGTTGTTTGTGGACAGCTGAGTGTTTTACTTCTACAGTATAACGACCCAGAAAACAGCAGTTGCCCTGTATTTATGGCATTCCCTTGGTGTCTGACAAATGTCAGTGTTTGAGAAGTGGAATGACTAATACCCATCTTAAAACAACAACAACTTTTTGTGCACTCTAAGACTCAGTCTGCCTAAAAAGAAGAAGAAAGCAGACCGAGAGGATGAGGAGCAGGATCCCTCCTTGAAGAACGACAGCAGTTCTGAGCAGCTGGATGTGGACGGGGACTCCTCCAGCGAGGTTTCCAGTGAGATCAACTTTAATTTTGAGTATGCGCAGATGGAGGTGACCATGAAAGCATTGGGCAATAACGGTGAGCAAGTCTGTGCACAGTAGCGTCTTGTCAAGGCGATAGTTAAAATGTTAGTGAAAAAAGAGTCTTTACAGTATGGTCTTGGAGCTTTTTTTTTTTTCTTCTCTTTAATGAACTCTGTTCTTTTGTATGTTTGGCTATGGTAATTATTATACTTATAAGAACATTGTTTTTGCCTTCATATATAATCTACTCACTGAGAGTTTGTCCTCGTTGGTAGAATTTCTCAGATTTGAAGCCCCTAGCATATTGCTCTCAGTGTATTTCTGGAGTGTTCATCTCTTGGGCAGTGGGTAGCACATAGAGGAGAGCTACTTTTTGTCTAAGAAAAATAGTGTGGAATGTATCTAGCTGAGACTCTGTGGAAATGCAAGTAATTGGCAGTAAGGGAAGCTGACTAACACATTGTCTTTCATGGTTTTTATTAGAAAGACAGACAATCGAACAGTGTAGAACCGAGTGTGAAGTGTGCTGTACCCTTTGTTCATTACCTTTTCTCCAAAACCATGTTCAGATCCGATGCAGTCAATCCTGAACAGCCTAGAACAGCAACACGAAGAAGAGAAGCGGTCTGCCCTGGAGCGCCAGCGGCTCATGTATGAGCACGAGTTGGAGCAGCTGCGGCGGAGGCTGTCTCCCGAGAAGCAGAATTGCCGCAGCGTGGACAGGTTCTCGCTGCACTCGCCCAGCACCCAGCAGCGCCTGCGCCAGTGGGCGGAGGAGAGGTGGGGGAGCTGCTGTCACCACAGCGACCGCCTGGGGAAGCGGGGAACCCTTTGTCACTGCTTGTAAAAGATTCACACTATAGCCTAGAACCACTTTGCAGTGTTCTTTTCCAGTTTTGAACAAATGGGAATTGCCAGGTTATAACCCTTGCTTTAAAACTGCCCATGTTGGGGGCTGCTCCACTTTCAGTTTATACAGCTTTTGGATTTGAATAAAGAAGTATACTTTTGGTTCTGAAGCTTGGGTAGGTGCATTTTTAAAATTAATTAATTAATTTATTGGGACTGGGGATTGAACTTGGGTCCTTGCGCTTGCAAGGCAGGCCACCGAACTGCTGAGCTAAATCCCCGGCCCTAGGAGCATTTTAACAAAAAAAGGAAGTTCGTTGTCTGGACTGATTAGCTCGGGTAGATAAAGCATGGTGTGCGGTGAGATGCAGATTGCAAGTCTGATCTCTGTGCGGCCTAAGTGGCAGTGCACTGAAATCCTTATTCCTAGGTGCAGCCTGTGCGTCGCTATCCTCTTGTATTCAGAGTCTGGTCTGCAGACAGACGGCATCCCCGTCGGCTGGACATTGATAGAAGTGTAGTTTCCAGTCCCCACTCCAGACTTACTGAGTCAGAATCTGGAGTTTATGCAGACCCCAGGGTCAGGTTTGTGAAGTGCCACTCTGTCTCCAGCCAGCTTGCTACCCAGGTGTGCCCGCGCTTGTGACGGAGCCGATACAAGTGTGTGCATGGTCGGTGCTAGTGATGTGTTTCCGGCATGCAGAAGACACCATTGCAGCTTGGTTTGCAGCATGGCGTTACATGTCATGACTGTAGTTTTCTAAGTGAGCTTGGTGTGTCACCTCCTCCTCACCTCCATTCTGCCTTTTTTTTTTCTTTCAAGAGAAGCGACATTGAATAACAGCCTGATGAGGCTGAGGGAACAAATCGTTAAAGCCAATCTGTTGGTGAGAGAAGCGAGTTACATCGCAGAGGAGCTGGATAAAAGAACCGAATATAAAGTGACCCTTCAGATTCCAGCCTCCAGCCTGGATGCCAATAGGAAGGTGAGGCAGCCGTTCAGTGCCACCACAGAGATGCCCTGGGATGAGGTGTGACCACATCATAGGGGCATAGGAACACACTCTCCGCTTCGCCAGGCCCTGCCAGTTCACCCAGCTGTCTGAATTGTTTTCTGAGAAGTCTGTCCTGGTCTGTCTTCCCAAAGTGGTTTCCCCTTCATCTTGTTAACCACTCCTCAACCCCTTCCCCACCAGTAACATCCACTGATTTACATTGTAAATTTTGTGGTGGTGTCCCACACAGTCCCCTCCTCCTGTCTTTGCAGCGGGGCTCTCTTCTCAGTGAACCTGCAATCCAGGTGAGAAGAAAAGGCAAAGGGAAGCAGATTTGGTCTTTGGAGAAACTGGACAACAGGCTGTTAGACATGAGAGACCTTTACCAGGAGTGGAAGGAGTGTGAGGAAGACACCCCGGTAAGCTGCAGGAGAGCGGGAGACCAGTTGGTTCCTGGGCAGTCAGAGCGTGGAGCCCACCTGCCCATTGCAGGGGAAATTGTTCATTTTCCCAAATTTGTTGTGCTTTTTCTAGGTTAGAAATAGTTTAATCCTCTAAACTATTTAATAAGAGTTTTAACGGGGAGGGGGTACCAGGGATTGAACTTGGGACCTTGCACTTGTGAGGCAGGTGGTGGGACCACTGAGCTAAATCCCTGGCCATTAAGAAGTTTAATTACATACCCATCTGATATCTTTTTTTCCTTTTCCTCGTTCTCTTCTCTGGGTTTCTAGCAGATTCTCCAGTTCCCATTAGGCCTTCTGTTGGCCAGCAGCAGTGTCTGTCCTGTGCTGCTCTGGGGTTCTCTTTAGGACAGAGTTTGGACCTAGTCCTCCTCCCTCTTCCCATTTCCCGACTCACTGAGCCTTTCAGAGGCTAAACCTGCAGTGCATGCTGTTCAAATTGTATATCATGATACCTCAACATTTGCACTATTAGGAACTTTTTTTAAAAAAGAAGTTTTGACCCTAAAGCAGGTGCCATAGATCTTTTTGCTGGTATTTGCTCCTCAATTTGAAGGTTGTTTCATTTGGGTCAGGCATGTGTACTTGTGCATATTTAAAATAGAAAGTTGTGTTATGTATTTTCAATACTGTGGGTTCCATGTACACATGGAGTTATTTACTTAGCTTCTTATTTTGTAAAAATGTTTATTTTTCTAGATTGCCATCAGTAAAATTATCACCAATTGATAGCTAGATATTTTTACTTAAAGATTTCCACATGAAGCAGAAGTGATTAAGGTATTGGGATTATTATTGGGATTTCCCTCTTGTCACCGTCACTGACCTCCATTCTAAATTTGCACGTGTGTGTGTGTGCATGTGTGTGTGTGAGAGAATGGTGAATAATGCAGTGCTGTGCATGAAGAAGAACTTAAATTTAAGCTGGTTATGGTGGTGCACGTCTGTAATCCTAGCACTCGAGAGGCCAAGGCAGGAGGATTGCAGTGAGTTCAAGACCAGCCAGCACTGCAAAACTACAAAGTGAGACCATGTCTCAAAAGAGCTTTATTTTACCATAAGAAATACAGGACTCATCCTGATAAAAGTGAAGTTTAATGACTTAGAGTATATCCAAAAGCAGTAGTTTGATTGCATTTATTTTCTGTGGTTTGTGAAGTTGTATGCCCTGTCTTTCTTTCAGGTAATCCGATCTTATTTCAAGCGTGCTGACCCATTCTACGATGAGCAGGAAAATCATAGTCTCATTGGGGTGGCCAATGTCTTCCTCGAGTCTCTTTTCTATGATGTGAAGTTACAATATGCTGTCCCTATCATCAACCAGAAGGGAGAGGTTGGCTTTCTCTTTGTGCCTCACTTCCTGTGGAGAGCAGTTCTGGGAACAGTTGGGTGGCAGTGGGATGCTGTTACTACTGTTTTTTTTTTTTTAGTAGTAGTGACAAATGATAGTATGTGTGTTATGGGTATCTTGTTTCCATAGGGCTTTATGGTGGTTATTGTCAGTACTTTGAGGGCAGAGTATCAATTAGAAACTAATAACTCAAGAGCTGAGTTTGGTGACGCATGCCTGGAATTCCAGCCCTTGAGAGGCTGAGGCAGGAGGATCCCTATGAGTTCCAAGCCAGCCTGAGATACATAGTGAATTGAAGGCCAGCCTGAACTATTTAATGAGGCCCTATCTCACCCCCTCCCCCAAAAAACTACTCCCTGGCAGTTCAGCTGTAACACAGGAGAGAGAGATCCTGTCAAGGCAAAGGAATCATACCCAGAAACGAGTGTCTCCTCTGCCCCTTTGCTCCAGGTGGCCGGCCGGCTGCATGTGGAGGTGATGCGAATCAGCGGTTCCGTCGGGGAGAGGATTGCGGGAGGTGACGACCCCACAGAGGTCCTCTGTGAGAAGGAGGCCCAGGAGAATAGACTGGTCTGCATGGTGAGTTCCAGGTTCCTTATGTAGTCCAAGTGGGGCTGCTCTTGAGGGCTGTGCTTGTCTTTTTTTGGACACAGGGTCTGGCTGTGTAGTTCAGTTCAGGCTGGCCTTGAACTCATTGAACTCCTGGTGATTGATCCTCCTGCGTCAGCCTCCCAAGTGCTGGGATCACAACTGTGCGTCTCCACACCCAGTGGACCTTGGTTGTCTAGATAATAATTCTTAAATTCTTTTTCAAATTTTGACAATCCCTGTTTCCAAATAAATCTTTGAGTGCTTAGCATTCTGTGGACCATGTCCATGTTGAGTGTCACCAGCCAGATGGCGTGTCCAGTACTGGGGCTACAACATGGGTACAGCCAGGCTCCTCCTGCCTAGTGGCTTCACCCTGCACAGTTGGCACATGGCTGTATGGGACACACAGGGTGGAACAAGACTCCAGTGTTGTGTGACCCAGCCACTCCAGTAAAGCAGTCCCCAGAGGAGAGGCTGCTAATCCAGATAGCAGGGTGGGAGGAAGATTCCTGGGAAGCTGGGGGAGTGGGGGCCGGGTGCCCGCCTGTGCCGAGTCTTTGGAGGGCAGTCATGCGCTTGTTGGGATTCTGCCCATTCAGCGTCTGTGGCACCACCTGCCCCAGTCCTCACAGCAGTGTGTAAGTACCCCTCAGCGGCCAGCACCACCCCTGCTTCCAAAGCTTGGCAGGAAGCAGTTTAAAAGGTTTAATGACAGGAAATCAGCAAGGGACCTGCTTGTGCTATTGAAGCATTTTTTTTTTTTTTTTTTTTTTTTTTTT